GCCCCCGGGGTCCGGGCCCCTGGCGGCTGGGCGGGGGCAGCCGCCAGCGCGAGGAGGCCGTCGAGGAACCCTCGGAAAACCAATGCCCTGAGGTGCTCCACCAGGGAGGATTAAACGTGCCAAGACAGTTCTGGGGACGTAATTTCTTTTCACACTTGGAAGCAAGAAACCCGCATCCCAGCATTGGACGAGCTCAGGATGATTTTTCCCCTCGCTAGCTGAATTAGGGTGCTCTCTGATAAATCAGCATGACCTCAAAGTAGGTCCTGGTGTCTTCAAACAGCAATTTTTCATGACATCAGCAACAGCTACTGGGAACGGTTACTTTCTTGTTAGTTTTACAGCAAATGCAAAACAATACTGCAAGACAGGGTTTATGAAAAACAAGCCTGGGTTAACTGAATCACAGTGATAAAAGTTTTTTCACAAATCAGATTGAGTGAAAGGACTTAAAGGGAGATCTTTATCTTTAATCTCTCAAAGAGAGATTTTTTTTTAACAATCTGAAAAGACTTTACATTCTTATTTCATTAGCCAATAACATACATTCTGAGAAGAAAGCTGACACGCACCCGTATTGCGCTAATAACGATCACAGGCCAATTTAAGCAACTGAGAAAAGGAAAAAGTTTGTTGTGCATACAAGACAAAGACATCTTTAGGCTCTGTTGCGGAAAACGCACTTTCTGGGGGCATTTCTTTCCCCACAATGATTTAATGTTTGACAATAATCCCAGCTAACTCTATTACATTTCTTTTTGAAATTCTTCTCTAAATACTGCAACTTCTGCTCTCCCGTATCATTTTGTCCAGGAACACCGTTTCACTAGAACGGAGCTGCAGGGGCAGATACATGTTTACTGTCAAAAGTGTCATTTGCACTTAAGGCTGTTACGGGACATAACCGTTGCCTCCTCTTGAAGCTTATTTTGTTCGTCCAGTACAGTCAATGACAATTAACCCATACATGGTTTTATAGCCCCAATTAAACTCAGTCTGCAAACGCCAATTCCATTTAAAATGTGGTCAAGCCCCTTTGATTTCAAGCAGATACAAGCATAAAAGTGAAATGCTTTCCTGACAAGAACAAAATTATATATAATGCTTGACTCTTGGCATACGCAGATCCCTCTCATCACTGCTCGTTAAACTTCAAAAATACAAAATCCTTTGCATTTAATTTCACTAATTCTGTCTTTTAGAGAGGATGTTAAGAAAAAATTTTTAACCTGGTGTGGATTATTTGTTGTATATGCACATAAAAAATATGCAAAGCCTGCCTAACTTTATTATGATGTATGTGTACAAATATAGTTGCTATAAGATTGCTCATCCATTGTTTGAAATAACTCAGCCGTTCTACAATCAGAAAGTTGGTACATTTGACTCACTGAAGAAAAGTTTCATTTATTTTATTAAAAAATAGTCCAAGTAAATCGAACATTAAAAAGACTTTTTTTGGATGTATCCTAGATACTACACAGGTCAGTGTACCGGGCTGAGGGCATCATAGAGCCTCTGTGCAGCCAGTTCCACCATTTCTCGAAGGGATTCATCATCTTCACTTCCTGGCTCGCACTCAACAGTCTGGGGAAAAACAAAGAAAAAAGCATGTTAGAACAACTGGCATGTCATATTCCTTTAGAAAAAAGGTGAGCAATGCTAATAAAAGGAAAGCAAAATAGATAATCTGTGAGTAGCACTAAACATTTCTATAGCTGTCATGCAAATTAAAAGGAAAGTTACCATGAGCTTTCAGCTGTACCGTAGGTTTTTAGATGGTCCACTAACATGTAGAAGAGCTAAGTAAAGACGTACAAAAGTCTTGCTGAGAAACAGGAAAATTAATACTGAGTTTTATGTTTGATTAATCACTTGTTCCAAAAACACTAAGTAAAATACATTATATTTGATTCAAAACAAAATATATCAAATAAAAACACAAAGTTCAATCCTTGGAGATTTCATTTTATCTGTGAATTCATCTGCATTATATTAGGTTAACAGAAAATGTGCAGATTCATCACAGAGATACAGGCACCTGCACTCAGGCAATCTCCACAGTGATGTTCTCACAACTATAAGATAATATTTAATTCAGAATAAAACACAACAGAAGTGATTCTTTTGCCATTAAAGCAATAAAAATGTCTACACAGCGAAAATGAAGATGAAAACCCTAAACATGCAAGTTTACTGGCATTCAAATCAGTCCCAAGACTGCTCTATCTAAAAAGCAAAGGGCAGCAATTACATAGTAATACTATTCTGGATCCCGTTTACTTCCTAAGTTCAAACATAGTATCTTCTCTATTTCAGTATTAACTTGTTACTGTTCTGTCCAAGTAACTACTTTAAACAGGAAGATTTTGAAAAGAACCCATTCGAAATAGTTAGTAAAGATGTATTTACATAATATTTTCTAACTGTTGTTTATGCATTGTTAAATGCAACCTAGTGTACACAGATACAGACATCTGCTTTTAAAAAAAATACATGAACTGTAAAAACTGTTTAGAGTTAACACCTGGAAAAAAAAAATCACACATCCCCACCATATGGTCCGATCTAGAATAGATGTTTTTTCATTTTATAGCTACGTAAGTTTCATAATAAGATGTATGTGCACTCATACAGGACAGATTCTTCTAAGAAAACCAATAGTATCCTGAGCTGCACTAGAAAGAGCACTGCCAGCAGGTCGAGGGAGGCGATCCTTCCCCTCTCTACTCAGCACTGGCAAGACTCATCTGGAGCGCTGGGTCCAGTGCTGGGCTCCCCAGTTCAAGAGATATGCAGACATAACGCAGCGAGTCCAGCAAAGGTCTATTAAGATGGTTAAGGGACTGGAGCATCTGTCACATGACGAAAGACAGAGAGTTGGGCCTGTTCAGCCTGGAGAGACAAGGCTCGGTGGGATCTCAATGTGTATAAGCATCTGAAAGGAGGGTGTAAAGAAAACAGAGCCAGACACTTCTCAGCAGTGCCCAGCAAGAGGACAAGAGGCAAGGGGCATCAACTGAAACACAGGAAGTTTTGTCTGAATACGAGGGAAAACTTTTTTTACGGTGAGGGTGACGGAGCACTGGAACAGGATGCCCTGTGAGAGGTGTTGCAGAACTTCCAATCTTGAAGATATTCAAAATCTGAGTGGATACAGTCCTGAGCAACCTGCTCTAGGTGATCCTGCTCAAGCAGGGAGGTTGGCCTAGATGATCTCCAGAGGTCCCTTCCAACCTCACCCATTGTGTGATTCTTATCAGATGTGGTCTACAATGGCACAAGCCATTGTAATTGCCCAATTGCCAACACAGTATGTAAAATAAGCATTACTAAGACATTGTACGTTGTTGCAGCTGAGTTGACTTTAGGGTTTCTGACACTGCAGAAACCTTCAAACAAATGGGGTATATCACTGTAAGTTAGATGAAAACGAAACCTCGTATTCTGATTAAGCAGTACGTATTTTTTTCCAGTCTTCTCTTACTTTTCTGTCTATTGCAAGACCTTTCTTCATTGGTCCTGTATTTTTTCTGTACTCTATGTATCTTTAAATGTAGCATATGCTTTTTTATTATAAAAACTGAAAAAAAGATGACACATTAGTCTTTCCTACTGTGTGATAGTTCTGTTATTCAGACCAGAGCCTATATTTTAAGAGCTATAGAAGAATTACAGTCTGTGGGTTACTTCAGTTTTTCCTTTACTATCCTATCTTTATTCATTTTTATACAAATGTAGACTTGCTGAAAACTTTCAAAATAAGAACGACAGAAGAACACACACTCCCAAAAATCAAGAAAACTCTCTCTCGCAGATGTTTATATAACCAAAACTCAGTAAATTCAATTTGCAGGTTGGATCCGTATTTGTCTATGAAAAACGGGGTACTGATCAGCTGATGAGAATGCCTCTGAAATTAATGGGACGAGAGTAGGCTTAAACTGCTTTGATACCAAGTATAAAAGCACTTCCTTAGTAAATAGGTCCATGCTATTTTAGGCAGCACTGTATATTACACCAGAGACTCATCTCTGTTCAAAATAACGTCGATAAATCAAAGTGCTTTGCTGTACATACCCGAGTGTCCAGTGAAATGTTTGCAGTCTTTCCATCTACTGTGACACATAGAACAGAGCCATCTTTTGAACTTACGCAGTCCTCCCCAAACATGTCCCTAAAGCAAAGAGCTGTAAGTATAAAACATGGCCAAACAGCAATTTCCTGTTCTTATTTCTGTTAATCTTATGCTTCCAAAGGCATTGTCAGTACAGTATCTCCTTTCAGACTCTATTATTTAACCCACTCAAATTTAATTAACAAATGCCAATCTAATTCTTAATGAAAGTGAGTGTCACAAAACAGGAGGAATTTTGCTGAATAAATCTGATCATAAATAAAGAGAAGGGTCCCTCTGACTTCAAAAGATGTAACAGTTCTATCTAAATAATAGAAACTACATCAGAACAAGCCAAACAAAAAACAGACATGATTCAAATTAAGGTATTTTTATAAACAATCATAGCATGGTTATGGTAGACAAACAGTTTACAGCTCTGTTTCTGGGAGAAATAACTGGCCCTTGGATTCAAAATTTTAATCACGATGGGAATATTTTACTGTATCCCTTACTTTACTTAATTCCTGGCCTTCGTGGAAATTAGACTCACGTAAATTTGCATAGAGAATTTTAAGTAACTACATCTTTAAACTGTATTGTGGTAAAATTACCTATATGATTAACAGTTATTAATCATTTTTATTTAGAGAAATATAAGTCAACTTACTGAAGCATGATCTCCATCCTCTTGCTATACACATCCATATCTACTTTTTTGGAAATTTTATGTACTGCAGCTGAAAAAATAAATCATTTTATTTTCAGACTTTTGCTGGGCGGAAGATTAGTTAATTGATACAATCTGGTTCCTAACCGATTTCTATACAAATAATCTAAAAGCTATGTAAGATATAAAATGTTTAAACTATTTAAATGGAGAATGTACTAAAAAAAAAAAAAAAAAATCGAGAAGTCCATACATTTCAAATTTATGTTCCCTGTACTTACCGCATTTTAAAACCAGAAAACTTGTTAAGTCTAATTCTCACTTTTTATTTTTTTATTGTTTATGCTTATTAATTCTCATAGTTCTTTTAATTAAAAGTGAAAGTAATCTGTTTTCATCATTTGTTTATATTCCCTCCACTTTCTGTTGTTTACAGAATAATACTGCATCATAGAGTCTGGGAGCATGCAGAGGATACATAACGTAAAACTAGACATCAAATGTGAACAGCAGTAATAGGCACAGACATTCCTGGAACGTGTTTCAGCATACAGCGATTAAATTAAAACAATGACGCTGTTTTCACACTTGGTTTAGAAACCAACAGATAGTTTAAAACAAGTGATCTTCTTTTGAAGATAACAATCACTTAAATATTTGTCTTCAATGGATTGAGAAGTCTACAGGGAGAGCTAGTCACGAAAATCACTGTTTTGCAGTTAAAATTGTTCTGATGACAAATCTGCAGCTAGAGTACTATTTTAAAAGAAGGCTTTTTAAAAGCTAGCTTTCAAGATTTCTAAGTCAGCTGAAGAGTTCAGACAACTGAACACAAAGGTAGCTAGAATTTCTTACAAATTCTTTGAAGAACTTCATGATTGCAAGAGCAAATGCATCTTAAAAATTCAGCAGCCCTTAGATAAGATGCAGTAACCAAATCTAGTAAACAAAACAACTTTATACTGAAAACAGAGCAAGAGCAGGCACATGCTCAACTAAGCAACAATAATTTAGGATGTTTAAATTCAGTCGCTCATGATCCTATGAACATACTCTGAAACACAGAAGCGCAATAACTATTTTGAATGTGTTTTTTTACCCCAAATAAGGGCAAAAAATCCTGAAAGAAGCAGCCAGAGATTTAGTTGACAGAATTACCACCATGAAACAACATGAGAAATAATGCAAAAAGGCAGATAAAAATAGAATGAGAAATTAACTAAGGGGGGAAAAAAGCTAGATACTGGCACTAGGAACTTGTACAGATAAAGTGGGAACTGCCAAGTCAAGCCAAGCCAGATATTACGATAAAAAAAAAAAATCAGTAAAAAAACAATAAAAGTTTTTTCCAGTCATATAAATAGAGATGGAAGAAATAAGGAGATCAAAGTACCACCCCAAAATCAAATGCATACTTAGGGTTACTTTCAGCAGAGCAGAACATAAACGGCAAGGCTAGAAGGGCTGCTAAGAACGTGTATATCGAAAACGGTCACAACCAAGATAAGAAAATTACACTCCGATTTGCTTAGATGAGGGGAATGGATAACCTTTCTCCCAAAACAAAGAAAGAACTGGTATGTGAAATTATAACTCAGGAGCAAGAATTTTTAACAAACTTGCTGAGTCAAGTGTGGGACCAAGCAACTAAGGACCAGTAATTGCTATGTTTTATATATAATTATAAAGAAAAAAAAAAAGATGCAAGGAGTAACCCAGGGAACATAAACACCTGTTTGTCCATATAGTTCTAACGCCTTCCATATTTGTTTGGAAACAAAACTTTATTAGAAGAGGAATAAAAAACCACACGGATTCACTGGAGAGATCAAGCCAGGATTCTCATTATCAATCTTTGGCAACTTAAAATTATCAGTTATTTTAAGGAAGCACTGTAGACCCAGCCTATCGGGCTTCAGTAGAGGATCTGATACAGAACGACATGAAAAACTTTAGGTAAGATGAGAAGATGTGGATCGGTACAGAATTTTAAGACCAGAACTAGAGAAAAGGAAGATGATCACACACTGGCGTATCAGGGGAATTCGAGGGCTGAAGGAAGATATGTATGGCACAGGATCCAAGACTGTTTTGCAGGCTTCTGGGTTCAAGTGCACACCTCGGCTGCGTCCCAGGTTCAGGTCAGGAGGACTCCCTCAACCCCCCCCCGCCCAGTGCTCCAGTTTCCAGATAAAGGAAAAAAAAACAAAACACTAAGGTCAGAAAGGAGCCACAACATGTGCCACAACATGTGTAGCGAGGGTCAGAGAGCACAGCTGCCTGGCAGTGCAGATGCAGCCCATGAGTTTTAAGTTGTGACCTTGGGATTAATCTAATTTAATATGATCATTACTCATATTGCCCTTTTGCCAGAAAAATAAATGATATCGCTACTTCTGCGTAACACCCTGGGAATAGAATTTTGGGTTTGGCTTGCCTGACCACAACCAAATTGAAGACACATAATGCTCTAAGGTGTACACCCAGATGCCGCTAATTTCACTAGATAAGCAGGGTAAATGAATGTAGAATTTAATAAGGTTTTTGGTACAGATGCAAGTGGTGAAAAAGTGATTTAAAACCCTACAAAATAAATTGTTTTAAACAACGGATTATCATTCAATTATCTGCATTACTGTGCTGCCAACATTTATCTTCAGTGTCACAGAAGAGATGCCAACCCAATATTCAGTATTTGTTCTGGATTCTAAGCATAGTAAAATATATATTCAAAACCAAAATAGTGGAGCAAATAATATAAATTTTCATCACCAGTAATCCCAGTAAAATTGCTGTTATACTTGGAGAACAAGGCCAAACCCAGCATCTGATAATGCTATCAGTACCCAGTAACACTCCTTGTTCACAAAGTCTGCATAAATATAACTGTAAAATTAGTCATACTTTCTCCAGCATTACCTACCTCCTTCTGTCATACAGTCATAGGAATACCACTCGCAAACAGTAACCATAACTTTTAAACGAGAGACTAAACAGTTTAGATGAGGTACCATGAATTCATTACTTAAATTAAATATTTACTCCCTTCAGATTTTTGTATATAAACTATTTCATGTATTTTATAATAAGGTTGTATTTTCTACAGTCAGCCACAAGTTGCCATTATAAGAAAAAGTTACAGTAAGTGAATATGTTATAAATAATGAAAAGCAAGTTGCCGTCCTATTTTTAAGTAGCAAGTCCTATGCAAACCCTACTAAGAAGTTTCACGGAACAAAGAAGCATAAAAACATGAAGTCTATCGCAAGGTAGTATTTCCTTTAAGCTCTATATCAAAAATTAAGAAGGAATGCCTCAGTTCAGTAAATATAACACTAAACTTACTACCTTTTTGTATTTTGGGATTTGATTGAACTTCCAGTATCACTGTTGTCACGGTGTCTGCATACATATCATTAGCAGGATTTGCCACCCACTGGAAGATAAAAAAAAAAAAATTTGTAATTTGGGCTAAATGAATAATGCCACATAAAAATAGCATAACATACACGGAATTCTCTTCATTTTTTCCCCTCTGAATTCTAACTTCAAACAATTGTCATACATTTTACACCAGTAATTTTTAAACTACTTTTAACTTGGTATATTACAGTAACTTCTCATAAAAAATTAAAGTTGTTAAATATTTCTGAACACATTTAAGAAATGATTACTAACTACTACACCTATTTAGACGGTGGAGGGAAGGTAGGGGAGAAAGAGGAGGAAGAGATATTTTGACATAATTTCCAATTACTATTTGCCAAAGAATAAACAGCATTGAATCTATCAATTCATTTGACTTGCTGCAGATAAGAAACTAGCAGAGGTTATTCTCAAATATTAGCATCAAGAACAACAATGCTCAAAACACGATTGTGACTACAGTGAGGAATTCATACAACAGTGAAAAAGCATGCACCGATACAGGATGACAGCTCAAGAGAAATTTTTTAATAGCTTTTTAATAGCTTTATCCAACAGATAACTATTTAATAATTCTAACAAATACTTAACTTGCCAAAGAGCCTATAAAATGCTATTTTGCAGAAACTGGAGAGCAGAACAGTTCTTTTCTCCCACCAACACCTACCTCAAGCACTACCATGCCTGGCTCCTGGATCACTGTAATATTTTTGAAAACTTTCAAGGCTGGTTTCTGTTGGATTTCTACTTCTTCTACATCACCTAAGAAGTGGCAACAAAGAGCGAGAGTAAAATTATACGGAAAACAAGACTTGATCTGCATGAGAAAACAGCTCATTTTAAGCAAGCAGCAGGTTATTATCGTGACTACTCGCAGCAGTTCCCAATCCATTTCTAAGTCTGAAGTCTATACTCTCTTCCCTTACCTGGTATTACCACTTTCTTTGTTCAGATTTGTTTGTTTGTTTGTTTGTTTTTTAAAATGTAATGTTGGCCATTTTACTTGTTTTGGATTCTCATGGTTTAATAGCTTAGGGTGCTCAAGTAAGTACACCAGTGGAAAACAAGCATGAAATGTAGTGCTCCGTTTGCAGAATTAAGCAGCTCCTCCATTACCCACAGAGGATGGCTAATTGTTTACTTTACATAAGCATAAAAGGTAAAACAAAAGCATTTGTGTGCCAGGTAGCTTTCAGGCTATGAGACCTAAGCACCAGCTGAATATCGTTGCTCTATTCACTAGTGATATGAATTAGATTCTGTGATTAAAGAAGGGAAGGAAAAAAAGAATTCCGAGCTTTAAATCTGGGACAGGATCCTGCAAAGTGTGCATGCCTTTAATGAACCAGGACAGGAGTTGCCCCTATTCTGTAAAAAAAAAAAGCTAGACAGAGACACTGGGGATCGCTCTAGTGGCAGATTTACATGGGCTCTGGCTCAGACAAAAAAACAAACAAAAAAAAAAACCCAGGACGGCTAGATTCTTGCCGCTTGGGTAGTGACAGAAAAGGCTGCCTGTCACGAAGGAGGGCAGAGCTTTTGTCTTTGTTTTGTTAGCTGGATAGTGTTACCTATTCTCTTTAGGGGCTGGAGACAAAATTAATAAATTTTGCATCAGAGTGGCTATGGCACTCACTTTTGGGGCTAAGACTCTGCATTTCCATATGCTCATGATTTTGTATTACAACTACTGCAGAATCCCACAAAAAAGGATGAGTCACGCTCACGAACTGGATCTGGCAGAAGCGGCATAACCTAATGAAAGTTGCAAAGTACAAAACAAATTACGGTACTTCGGCTACTGGCGAAGCAAAAAGTTTCCACTCAAAAGTCCCCTGAAGACTGCAAAATATTTTAAAATGTAATTGCTATAAATCATGAACATTTCTTTCCAAATACACACCAGTGAGTTTTTGGAGCTGATAATAAAGCAGATTGAATGGGCCAGTATACGGAATGGCTTGTGTCTGTGTTACAGTGCTCATCGCCAAGTCTGTGTAATCTGAAACAATTTTTAAAAGTGTTAATAATTATCACTCTAAACTTACTTCCTAAAAAATAGAATTGTCACTACAGAGAAATAATGGCATTAACACATTTAAGACAGAGGGTTGAAAAGGACAGTTTATAAGGGCGGGGGAGGGTCTATTGTCTTTTTTACGACAAATAACGCATTTGCGGTTAAGACACTCGCAAGAGCTTCCATTTTATCATAAGCTTTAGAGACAAACAATGAACTAGAACAGCGAAATTCCTTTCTCCCAAACTCTTCTCGCCTTACCACCCCATTTAATTGCTCAGTTTCCTCTATTTTGAGAGTAAATCATTCTATATAGGAATAAACAGCATAAGAGTAATACACATTTTCACTGTACTGCATCTTTTTACAGTAAAACCTAATGACATCTTAGAAACCGGCAGGACAATTGATCAAGGCCCTCTTCTGTACTTACTGGGGGAATGCAATTTTGCTTCTTTTCTTTTAGAGGAAAAAATAGAAAATATTTTAAACTTCAGCAAGCAACGAATTGAATGTCTTGTCTTTCACTCCAGCAGTTGACAACTTTAGGCAAAATTGTACCAAAATAAAACTAAGATGTTCACTAATTACTTGCCAAATAAAATTACAGAACCCTCTCATCCTAATTACAGAACCTTCTCATCCTGCCTTTGTTTAGTAACAAAAGAAGGATACAATACATTTCAATTACCTACTGCGTACATTACTATCTTTACTTACTGGAGAGGTCACAAGGAGAAAGGATATGATAGTTAAAATTTCTTTTAACCAGGATCCCAGAAATTCTCTGTCCTTGCTCTGGCTTCTTATCTGCTAAAGATCCCATCACCTGAAAATAAAAAAAATACATAGTGCAACAAGGCAATCGGAAGTTTTCATACCTTGAAGTTCAGTATGGAGATGAAATACAGGCTCCACTGAAAATACAAACACAATAAAGCGATCACTGTGAAAACAAGGGAAGCCCAGAGCAACCCTGCATGGAAAGCATTTTGAGATGTAACACAAAGACTGGAAGAGTTAAAACGTAAAAAGCCAATGAAGTTTTTGCACCAATGGCTGCCACAGAAAGCACGTGTGCAAATTACATTTTACGCATAATTTGGGAAGAAATTCCACTCTAATTCTGCTTTTCATACCTCTAGGAAAGACCCGGAATTTTTTCACCTTGAGGGCAATGACACATAGGAGCAGGTTGCCCAGAAAGGTCGTGCAGTCTTCATCCTTAGCGACATTCAAAACTGGAACGCGTAAGGCCCTGAACAACCTGCTCTAGTTGGCCCTGCTCTGAGCACGAAGTTAAGACTGGATGGTGTCTGTGATTCTATATTACAATAGAAGCTGAACAGATAAACTGCAGATTTCTCTATGGATTTTATTTTAAAGGTAAAGTAAATATACAGTTAGAACAAGTGTATTAATACAGTAACGTAGTAGCATTTTGTCAACCTCCTCAGAGACGCAATGGCTAAACTAACGTTCTAATTCAGGCTGAATCAATAAATAGGTTCAAATCAAAGACCATAAATATACAGCTTACAAACAAAAGAGAGGAGTTACATGGGATAGATTTTTTTTTTAAACTAAGAACTCTGAGCAAGAGCCAATTTCTTTTCAGTGTTCTAGCTACCAGTGCGGGCCAGCTCCCGTGGCTACCACCACGGATCCAAGTAGGACAAAAGAGTCAAAGCCATGGCATCTCAGACCCTACTCCAAAGGGGTCATTAGTAGGCAATAAATAAAGATGTTATTGCAGTTCGAATCTCTATGGCAAGTTCACATTATGTACAACTCACTCTAGGTCACAGAGCAGTTACACACTGCATTTCAGTTCTACTTCTATGCTTAGGAGTACTTGAAAAATTAAGCTGGAAGACATTCGTGACACTTCACCTGTCATTTTTGACACCAATTCTAAAAAGGATTAACATTAGGTCCTTATTAAAAACTTTTTTCTCATTTTCATTCACTCTTCCTTCAAGCTCCTCTGTATCATGAGAAAACTGAGGTTCAACTTCAGCAGTGTAATAGAAGTTGCAGATATAACTATGAGGGACCAGTTATCAAAAAAGCTTTCCTTCAAAGGGTCCAAACTAGATTCTGATAGAAAGCAAAATGTAACTCAATTAACATTCTTATGCTTCTTAACGCACATTGGCTTTTACTTAGTTCACTGTTCAGATTTTATTGTAATATTTAAACATTGCATCAAAAAATATTATTGCAGTAGTTCCAATTCAGTCTCTAGGAAAACTTTCAGAACATAAAAAATGTATTAATTGTCAAAAATGATTTCTGTATTAGATAGATGCGTTAAGCTTTGAGTATCAAAAAATAAACTTGCAAAAACATTCTCTTTATGTTGCCTTTATCATTTTAGTAAACAGACCACACATTCATGGTTAAAGAATTTCTTCTGCCAGATGATCCTATTTTTGAGCTCTCTTTTTTAAGCATGCTATTATTTAATTTATCCAAAATATGTATTCTCTTCTAATATACATGGATGGAATGGGTGTTTCGTGTCTTCCTAAAATGCAAATGAAATCTCCTACATTATCTATCCACAGAATTCAGTGCTCTGACACAACAGGAATTTGTGTCCTTTGTTTGGGGGAGGCAGGGGGGAGAATCGAAGGCTACTGTACTGGGTAACACAGCAAATGGACTGGGATAAAGGGATTGGAAGCACTGACATATTTGTCTATAGCAGTGTAGATCTGGGCTGCCCAAAAGAAACACATACATACTTTGAGTCCTGGCAAAACATCTTAATACAATCTGAAACCAATTAAAAAGGAGACATGGAAGAAAACATACGGTCTTTATCACAGAGAAAAATACTGCGGTACAGAAAACAAAATGTTAATGTTATACCTTAGCAAGTTTTTCTCCTCTGAAGTTCAATGTCACAGCTTCAGTATTCCTAGGATTATGAACTTCTATATGAACTTCATCATTATCCTCATATTCTCGTATCAATGCTGCTTTCAATCTGGCCATTTCATTCTGCTCTCCATGTACTAAAATCTATAGGAAAGATATGAGATGTCAACAAATTATCCAAGAAAACTGCCTTCCTGTACCTCGTCTATATAAAAACAACCCATATATCTCAAGAGGTCACAACATATGAAACATTAGCTCAACTATGCTACATACAGTTCTGTTTGCCTTTGTATCCTATGCAATATTCAAAGACCTAGACAGATACCACGACATTGAGTTTTAAGAGAAAAATGTATGTAAATAAGCAGAGTATGTTATACAGATTTCAATTCACTTCAATGTATGAACAAATTGTTATAGTATGAAAGGAAAATATTAATTTAAGCTTAACTATAAAAATTACAATTAGCCTTAAATTTTTGTTTGCAGGTAGATATATTTATTTCTCTATGTAAAAAAAGCTAAACGCGTAATTCAGCAAGTACACTCATTAAGCTCATAGTTTTCTTTATCAAGTTAAATCCTCTTTTCTTGTGCTACAGTTTCCTTGCACACTGATTTTTCCTCCAGTTCCAATAATTTTCAAGTCCTAGTCCTCATTGTCAAATTCTGGTCCATTACTCTTCCCAGATATCCTTTACTCACCCCCGGATAACCCACATGCAGACAGCAATGAGAGCAAGTTCATCTTTACTTTGCTAAGGCAACATCATGAAAAGAGTTACAACCTCCACCTTTTATTTTTCCAAGCACAGGGAAGCTGGCTACTGCTAGACACCAGTACGTGCCTCGACGACTCAAGGCTGTGAACTGGTTTGACGAATCCCACCCTTGAGAAATGAGCAGCATGTATACTAACCACATGTGGAGGTTTCAGGGCCCGGATAAACTCACTAGTTTGTTGATAATCTGTGTGAGCAGAGAAAGAAATGTAGTCTACAGACATCTTCAGTGGGAGTTTTTGCCCTGACATAGTCGTGATCTCTTCAGGTTCAGACATGATGTGCTAGAAGAAAAAGCACTTTAAATGAAAAGATTTAAAAGCAGACCTAATATAACTAATGCTTCACGTTAAAAAAAAAAAACTCTTAAGAGCTAAGTAGTGAAAAAATTGGGAAAAAAAGACAAAAAAAAATCAAAACCCAAATCCCACAAAACACATTCATGAATGAAAAAAAAGAACAACATACACAACATACAGCATTTCATCTTTTGCATCCCATTTTGCGTTCCATTCTTTTTCCACACACATCTCTCTACAAGTTGCATTTAAATTATAACAAGTGTGTGATTTATGTCTCTAAAGGCAAAACTTGTGGCTGTCCTTAGCTGAGGAAATCCGTAAAGAAGGATTTCATTCTCTACAACCTGACCACGGCCAACACGTACAAGGCAGTCTGATCTCTGACATGTCAGCAGTGCTAGATTTAACATGGACTCCTTCAGAATTAGGGTCAGGACTCCCCGCCCAAAGAGTGAGATAATGGCAGGAGTATAAAGATGAAGAAAAACATCAATCACACTTTCTTGAGATAAGATAACTGCTCCTAGGAAAGATCATTCTGCATACCACTCCTGGAAATAGCCATATGCAAGTTCTTTTTTTTTTTTTAAATATATTTCATTTAGCATTAGCCAAATACAGCGAATATGTAACTGTGCCCACCTGACAACAATTGCAAGTTCTAGTGAGCTCAGATAAAGCTCAGATAAAGGCGCTTGCTACTGGCCAATTCTTTTTAAATGGAACACCCATGCTTCTTTGCATTAAAGAACATTGTGGTGCATTAACAACTCACCTTAGCAAGCGTTCCTTCAACACAGTACCCTGCGATAATTACTCCGTTTCTCTTGTCTGTGCACCAGCTCTCAAACAACTCTCTAGATAAGCCGCTCTGCATCATACCTGGGGAAGCCATTACAACACTTGGGCCAATATCATCAAAGTGATCCATACTCTAAGGGGACAAACAGTAAGAACATCAGTTACTATAGCTCACTTAAATAAAGGACAGCCTAGTCGCACCCTTGAACAGCATGCAAGTGTAGCCCTGCATTTTCACAGCTCATACTCCACCCTCAAAAATGGCCCTTTCTCGGAAAGCTCCTCCTACTCATACCCACAAGGGACAGTCTATAAATATAAGGCTCTACAGTGGAAGAAACGTTGGGGCATAAGCTCTCCGCAACCAGCCCTCCAAATAGTGGCAGGGCAGATAGAGTGATTAATTACAGCTTCATATCTGAACTATTAGGATAATAGAAATTCAAAATATTAATACAAATATGAGCTATTCTATTATTCTTCCTCTGTACTAAGACAACCTTTCTCAAGCTTACCTTCAGATTACTAATGTGCTTGAAAACGAACGGATTGTTGATATTTATTTGCTTGCGGATTTTGTCATTCATGGCATTGACGTATGTCTGATAAACTGCCATGCATTTCTTTGCCAAAGAGGAGGCGTAGTATATAGGAATATCATGGAGTTCAGGATGATTCTGCCAGTATTCATCTAAAAAAAACAAAAGCAACAAAAAAGATAAAATAAACATAGCAATATCTCCAAAATGTACTTTTTGTAAAACAAATTCAGCAATTTTTCTATCACTTTTATTACAGAAAATAAAAGTCACAGACCTTTTACCTGCCCTACCAAAGAAGAAAAGACAAATACCAACTGAAAAACTGAAAAGGCATACAGTGCTAATTAAAAAAAAGAAAAAAAAAAAAAAAAAGAGATGAAGCTCAGATGTTTTTGGCAGGTCAAACCAAACAATCATCAATTTCAACCACAAGGTATAAGTATGCATTCTACTGCACAGCAATAAATCTACATTTATTACAATAGAAGTTTTACAACATCATTGCAAGAAGGCTTAAACCTCTTTGTCAAATATGATTTCTACAGCCTACAACTAAGAACATCTGTATATAGAAACGTTAGTGAGAAGTCATTATATCAGAGTTCAGTAAAACAAATCCGTAGAGTTTAAGGCACAAAGCTTGGCTTCCAACATATCACAAATAATTACATTTTACAAGTTTAGCTGAAAAAAAAAAATAGAAGAAAAGCCCCCACTAACCACAACTTATTTTACGACTGATGACAGAAGCTATAACCTTAACTAAACACAAAAAAAGAGGTCTGAATGCAGCTATACAAACCTAACTTATTCCTCTTCTGCTAGCATAAAGCACGTTTACATTATATATTTGGGGAACAACCATCAAAAGAGACTGTTATGTTCTTTTGGCTACATTTTGTACATTAATATGATACGGCTTTGATCTGCAGATTAAGCTTTTCAGAACACACCAGAGAAGCGGACTGTCACCAATATCCTAGTAAGTTCAAATATAAGGTGGAAAGCACCAATGAAAGGTAAGCAGTAGCAGAACTTAAAATAACATTAACAGATTGCACCTATCATAATAATTTTCTATTTCATAATAGAGTATTTTATTTTTTGTTGGACACTTATGGAAGGAAGACAAATAAGCACAGAACCCTGCAGGGTTCGACTGCGCAGGCACACGAGGCAACTGCATTTTCCACCTAAGCGTCCAATTTTGTCTCTAACTTTAGATGTATTTCCAGGCTTATCGTTATGCAGTTAGTTAACTATCTACACATAGGAAAAGAAGATCAACAAATTACAAACCAATGGCTATATGAGACTTAAAATGTTCAGTTTTTAACATCCTCTGTCAAAAATCAAACTTGATCAATGTCAATAAGATGTAATAACCCTACCATACAATACTGAATACTACCCCACATCTAGATCCCAAGCTTCTTATAAACATTTTAATAGATCAATAACATACTTTGAAAACAAATACCAGTTTTTAATGTTGATCTAAACTGAAATGGAAAATGTAAAGAATTTTAAGTATTTTAGGTAACATTTTAGATTCAACACCCCTGAAAACACCTATTTTGAGATAGTTACTTTTTGATCACACTAGTACTTGCATGAGAAAAAAAAAGTCAAAAATCATGCGCATAGTACAAATAAATGGGCTGAAAGGAAGAACAAAAGTCAGGAAATGGTTTATTTAAAAACCGTTTTCTCTAAAGTACCTTGAAATAATTATTTATACTTTTTATGTGAAGGTGGCTTGTTACAATCATTACACTTTTTTCCCCATCTTCCCCCTTCTTAATAAAGTCTAATCTGCTTTCTCCTTATCATGTTTACTTTGGAAATACCAGAAGTCTTTGCTACAGTCTTCTCAACCTTCCCTGAAAGGTTCATACAGGTTTGTGAAATAAAGGGAAAAGCTACTGAAACTTTTGAACAGAAAAGTTTGCTTCTTCTGGCAAAACAGTTTAAAAAGAACAGTCATATTTTAATAAGTCACTTTTTGGTCTGTAGCAACACTCCCTATTTGCTGAAATTCTTACTCAACAAGTTTCAAGAGTCAAGCATGTTCTACCCTGCAAATTAAAAACCAACCTCTTCCCTTTCTAGGCTTCTCCTCTACTTCATAAAGCACAACTGCCTTTCTTATATGTGCACTTTGAAAAGGCTGTGTGTTGCTTTTTTTTTTTTTTTTTTTTAAAACATCTGCACAAACAATATTACATATTCTCAAGTAATTAACATGCTGGAAAAACGGCTAAAGAATTGTTTAAAAAATTATTATACCTAAAAACTGCTCATGAAAACATTCTCATTTAACTTTACGTGCCTTTTATGAAAAGGAACTGGGAAGATACATACCTAAAATCAAAAGTAGTTCTTGAGCTCGGCCTAGGGCAAACACAGGAATAAGACCTCTACCTCCTCTATTTACAATGTCATGCACGGTATTACAGAATCTTGCCTCTCGCTCTTCTCTTTTTTCATGAATGTGAGTACCATAGGTGGATTCCTATGGACAGAGAAAACTAGTATTAAAAGTAGCGACACCAAGACTAATTCCTAATCTTCTCTAACTCTGGTGAGGAAACGCAGTCCAACATATCGGTACTACCATACAGAAACATAACTTCCATTCTACAGTTAAGGGCGTCCACTTATATGCCGTTACAGGGTACACAAAGTTTTCAGGGTTACAAAATCGGGGGGAGGGGAGCGTAAGGAAAACAAATAACCTACCCCCCCGCGCCCAAACCCCGCAACCACCTGTACCAAGACATACAACCAACATTTCCCTCCCCTCAAGACACTTCCAGCAAACTGGAAAGGCAGTCCCTGTCAGCAAAAAGGGTAGAATTATTAATTTTCATGATTTTTTTAAAGGAGGTTTCAATTTTAACACACTTATTCTCCTGACTGGAAATGCTGCTGCTGCTTTGCTAAACGAGTTACCACTTTAACACAGGGTATGTGTACCACAGTGCAGAAACATCTAGTCTAAAGATAAAGGAATTACACAAAATGTAATATTTTGAAATTATCTAAAATGAAATAATTGTCCGCTACAGAAAACATTTAGAAGGACCATAACAAAGAAATGATATAGTTGTAAGCATCACTCTAAAAGTTCCTATTATTCATTTCCAAATAAACCTGTTTCTTTTAAAGTTTCCACTAAGCTTTTTATTTTCCAAACATGGCTTCAGTATAAAACAATTTCTCCCAGAAAACAAAAGAAAAAAAATTTGGAACGGCTCTTACATCTTCACCCAGGGCAACTTTTCAACAAACACAGTTGGAAGTAGGCTAAGATCTATTAAAGAAAGGTATCTAGCTATTGAGACTCATACTAGACCGAGTTAAGACTAGTGGAAACTGGGAAAAGGCCTAACATTGATAAGGTTTGTCTAGAGGTTTGAGAAATTTCATCAGAGGTATTATAAATGACAATTACATTTTTAAACATTTTTAATATGATGAAAAGACCTGTTAAGAGAGTTCTGAACACCTGTGCTATCAAGCGTTCGGATATTTAAAACAAATTGCATGTTACCATTGCACCCCCGTACTAGCTTTCTCATTGCGTTTTAACTCTAATTAAGTAATATTCCTATGCATACCTAATTACTATTTTAAAGAAACAATTTCGTAAAACTTACAATTATAAGAATATCAGGTTTAATATTGGGAATCTCAGCTGCCATCAGATGCCTGTCTTCCTGTCTTGAGAAATCACCTGTATATAAAAGCTACGAGAGAGACAAAAAGCAGTTACTCTGATTACCTGTAATAACGTCAGCAGTCTTTAAAAAGGTGGTGTATAGGAATGATATTTTTCTTGGCAAATATAACTTCAAGGAACTTGTAACAGAAACGTCAACTGTACTTCAACTAAAGACTCTTCTGATGTGCACAGTGCTTACAATACCAGCTCACCCATACCAACAGAAAACACAACAGATGCTATGTAGAAGTACAAAGCGGGTAAGAGTTTGCACATCAGAATGCAAACATAATGAATAATCCAATAAAATCACCCCCCCACCCCCCCGGCAAAAGCCTGTAATCAACCAGATTTTCCAAAGAGCACAATAATGTTCCCTTTAATACCAGGAAATGCAGTGATTTTACTCCCATCAGTGATTTTTTAATACATTCTTAACTGCAGCGTGGAAGGCAGTTCTCTGTGTCCTAAATGATGGTTTCAGAACTGAACACGTTTTACCCAACCCTTATTCCATACATGGAAACATGAACAAAATGTGGTCAGCAGCAAAGAGTAAGTGGTCTAAAGGTAATCCACTATCTCATTCCTCATCTGCTTCACAGAAGGACAAAGAAAATAATGGACGTTAAAACCTAATCCTCTCAGGTCATGTGCAATAATAGGGAAATTTCTTTCTCCACCAAGTCTTGATCAGCAAGAAAGGTAGTAAGGCGCCTAGATTTTATTTTAATAATTGCAAACGCAATTATATTTCTATGCTTTTTATACTTACTAAGTGTGGAATGTCGATCATTATATGGCATAGACCAAGTCCACTAGACAGCAAGCCTCAGGACCACCATTTCTTCCCTCTTCAAGGGCGTATGAAAGATTTCCGTGGGTGGAGGGAAGAAATGGTGATTTTCCCGCTAGTGTACTGAATTCAGTTCTTGAGATTTGTTTTGAATATCCGGCTTTGACACAGCACTGTCTGTGATTACCTGATGACTTATTTCATCTCTCTGTGCCGCAAATTACTGCTAATTCTGTTTCTTTAGGTACTTTAGCATGAGGGCGTTATGAGAAAAATGTAACTCACATACCTTGATGAGGGGCATTTAAGTACCCAGACAGGCAGACATGGTAAAGCAGAATTAGAAAAACAAACATCTGTTTACACATTTTGCTAAAATAGAGCCTCAATAAGACTGCCTCAACTATCAGCTACCTCTGAGCCAACCAGCAAGGAAGACAATATATTAACCAATTCCAAGTCTAAGTCATAACTCACTTCCATAAAACCCAAATATGCTACCTCATTCAATATGCAAACGTCACTTGTCCATTCTCATCAATCTCAAAATATACGCTGTGCGGTAAGGCCTCCCTTCTGTGCGCCCAAGCCTGTTTGACAGTTCCAATCACAGTGGCAGGCCTTAAAAGCTAGTAATAAATAATTGGTGATTATGTTAGAATTCAGGTCTGATTCCAACTGTTTATCAGAAAGTACATACCTTCACGCCAGCGATTTCAATCATAAACATGGCAGCTCCCAGGACATGGCCTGCATGGTAACACCAAAATTTGATTCCTGCCACCTCTTTCACTTCATGGAAGTTGATAGTTTCAATCTTGTCCATGCTTTCTTCCAGGTCTGTTTCTGTATATAGCATGTCATCCGCTGATATATTACTAGATATAAATGAAATGGCCAAATATCAGCTACTTTTAAATTAGTTTGGTTTATATTAGATAACCATTGAGGGGGAAAAAAAAAAAATCCAGATATATTCTTCCCCACAGAGAGCAAAACTCCCATTCAGAAACGTTAAATCTCCCGCACTGAAAGTCAAGTCCAGCAATTGTAACGTAGCTCCCCTAAGCAAAGTTAAAAGGTCTTTCTTTTGAAAGGTCATACTGTAAGAGTGTTTAAAGTTCAGGATCTGCTCTGTATTTTTCTAACAAATGCAAGCATTAATAGATTCCCAGGCCAGGACAGAAGTCTTTGGAACACGTTTTTCAAGAAGAGAAGCGTGGTCTACAGCTGCTCTTACACTCAGGTTATAACAGTACCCGCAAAGAGGCCGTTCCAAAAAAAAAAGGGGGGGGGAGGGGGTGGGGCACACTTTTTCACTATCCTATTGGCCCAGAACAAACAAGCTGAAAGAGGACTGTTTATCAGGTTTCTGGCCCAAGATAGAATCTGCTGAGTTATGTTCAGGGCTGTTCCATTCATTCAGAAAAGATGTGCTCAAGGCATGTAACAGAAGAAAAAAGAGAAAGTAACAGAGCACATTTTGTGCCCTTGCCTGCATTATCTTTAATTTGACCTTGTCCCTGAAGAGTGAGGTGTACCTTTAGTGGTTTAAGATGGACTTACTTCTGTGAAGTTTAAGAAAAAATATAAACGTTAAGAAGTGTAAGAGCAAAAGAGTGTGCTAAGAAAGGCAGAGGAGGGGGGAAAAAAAAGGTACATGATTAGATAAAAGGTCCATTAAGGCAAACGAAAAGAAACAAAGACAAATTCTTTTTTTCACTGATAGGAAATGATTCTAGAGACACAATAAATCCATGAGACAGAAAGATGTCTTGTTACTTCTAACCTTGTTCTAAACTTGCTACTTGCAGCAACATCCAGGTTCACCCACCCTCCTTCAGCTGCTTTGTCTTAAGCAAATTCTAGCAGCAAGTAATAAATGCCAAAAACTCGTTAGGCTGATATACGATCACCTCAGGTAAGAGGCTGCATAAGGCCACTTTTGCAACAAGCTTCTCTATGTACGCTAACTGTGTGTATATAAAAAGCACACCATATTTAGCATAAAGCCTAGAAATATTTGATATCAACTGTTACGAAATATAACGGCAATTACTGCATGACATTCAGAGAGCAAACATCTCCGGGAGAAAACAGAAACGTGCAAGCCTTATTACTACTCAACTCACCTTACTAAGTGAAACACCTTTGAAGAAGAAGGGATAATGAAAAGAAACAACATTAATAATGTGAGAATGGTACTTCAAAGATACCTAACAAGCTCTGCCCCAAATCGCCAATACGTTATACTGAACTGCTCTTCCTGTTGGATATACAGAGGCAACTAATGCAGAAGTTAAAAAGACAATAAATGAGTCTGCTTACCTGACTTTGACATAGTCTGAAAGAAGCCATCTGTAAATAGCTTTTGTGGCATGCGTCATGAATGTTCTTCCTTTAAAACTCGTTTTCTGCAAAAACCATGGTAAAGCCCCACAATGATCTAAATGGAAACTTAAAATAGACATATGAATCCAATTAATACATTAACATCACACCATATGGTGTCATATAATTCACTATATTGAATTAACATAGCGCCATAAAAATCCAGGAACAGAAAAATTTCAACCTTATTGTTACCTATGCTGGTCTAGATCCTGTACATTAGTGACTAGAAATAAAACAGAGAAGGTAAGAGTAGCGCAGGAAATTGTCCATTAATTGCCAAGATTTTACCCATACAGTCTCAGAATTACACATTTTTTGCAATTTAAATAAAAGCTGAGAGGGAGAAAGTATAAACTACTGACCTAACTATTTTACCATGCCATTAACATCTACATAATACCTATTTTCAACCTGTCTTTAATAAATTAGAGGTTAGTACTGTTCAAAGCATGATAGTGCATTTGTTCTTTTTCTAGGTGCCACTTACTGACTGATTAGGAGGAGATCAATCTCAGCAGGATCTATCAAATCAATGTAAGGAAGAGCATCCATTCCTTCCAGTCCAGGGTGGATTCCACAATCAAGCTGAAACATGAAAGAAAGTTAAAGCTTCTAATAAAATGCATTAAAAAAAAAAAACAACTTACGTTTCGGTCTACAATATACTGACCAGTAGCCTTTAACATCATACAGAAAAGTATATTTTCCTCAATCACTGCCGTTAGCAGGGTGTCTGTCTAGATGACTATCTCCACTGGGAAACTGAGTGATACCTTTTAAAAGCCATTTTCAGATCCCAGTTATTTACAGTTTTGCACCTATACAAGCCTTCATTCACAACTCAACAATACGTGAGTACACAAGAAGCAGTGTACTTCAGTTGACAAGAGACCTGAAAAAGTGAAGGAGAACATATATGTATTAATCCATAACTGTAAGTAAAGATTAGACTTAGGTTCCACTGAAATTGGATTTTAGAATCCACATTTAGATACGTCTTCTGTTTTGGGATCCGGATTTATTTTATATAAATGCACAAATACATTCATAGAATAATTACCATTATTTTTCTTCCTTTAAACTCCAGAATAATGCATGATCTTCCTACTTCTTGGCCAGCACCTCTGCAAAAAGAGGTTAAAGTCATCAAAATTAAAACCGCACACACCCTATGGATGGAACTGAACATCTGATGGCTTTAATGGTATTATTTTTCTGTGTAAAAGTAATGACTGCATAGTACTTTTCAACCCACTTATTTAAAGTAACTGAACAGTTACACCTACTGCAATGCAAATGAGGTTCTAGTCAACCCTGCAAGAAAAAGAATTCCAGTTTTAAAAAATGATTTACGTCTCTTCCTGTTTTTGTTGCATGCTTGCACTCCGGACTCCCAAAACACTTAGGAGCAAGAGAAATATGAAGTTTACCAAAATAATAAATTCTCTTAGGCTACACAAGCTTGAAGTAGCATCTTCAAGCTGTCCAGAAGACAACTGCTACGAAGCTACCAAGAGAGACCTTCAAATCGTACTAACATCTTCAACTAAGAAAGAAACCACGTTAAAGTATTACTAAAACCACAATGCTGTCAAACTACACAAAGGTAATATAACTTTTTCTCGTTGAGGAAATTCTGTTGCCGGTATGGATTGGTATTTTTGCTCGTAATACACTCCAAAATTGCAGGAAGGAGGGATGCAGCTTTAACATAAGGGCCGTCGCAGGGGTGACCCCTATCCTGGGATCTCCAGGCTCACCACTCACTGGAAAAGAAAACGGCTAAAATTCGAGGGGGGGCAAAGCAGCGCCGGATCCAGCCCCCTCGGGCCCCACTTCCGCCCTCCGTGCGCTCCTGAGGGCTGGCAGAGGCCTCACCGCCGCCTCCGAGCCCCCCGGCCCCACACACCGGGT